TTGATATCATTTCTCAAATACATATTTTTTTAAATTTAAATATTTATATGTTATAAATAAATAAAATGCTAAATTTTAATTTGCTTTGTTAAATTCATACTTTTTTAAAACTATGTAATCATCCAAACTTACAATATTTAAGTTATTTAAAAAAATAAAATAAAATATATACGTAATTGTAACCATGTTACAAATAGTCATTTGTTAGAACACAGTTGTAAAACAGACTAAAAAAGAAGTTCATCGAAGTTTTCTATAACTTTTCTATTCTTTGTAATTTTTACTTTCTAAAGAAATATATATTTAAAAGATCATTTAAAAAGTCTTCCATTAATTAACAATAAGATGTCACAGTAGAACAAAATTAAAAATTAAATTTTAATACGCATAGAAAGAGTTTGCAAAGCTTGGTAAAATACATCAATATTTGAAAAATAATATGATTCCATTGAAATTAAGCGCTTGTAATACCTTGCAGCGAGAAACGGAGGCTATCAAAACATCATTCTATCAATTACATATTCTTTGTTATATTTAAAAATAATAGAGCAAACTTCTGTAATAAACTGTTTTAATCCTTTTTAAACTCTAAGTAGAGAAAATTAATTCGTTTACATACATATATTCTCACTATATTAATATAATTTACAGAATATTTATAATGATTCTGTGAAATACTTTGTATCACAACCACTAAAGTTTATTAGTCTTATTAATTACCAAAATAAAATAACGCGCGTTATGCATCGAAGGTAACTGATTTTCGCTTGTTAATGCAAAATGCGGCGCGTTAATCCAGCTCTTTAATTCAGCGCATTTGCTCGGTCCAGTGACGCGATGTCAGTTACACGGAGTTTAGTGACACGAATCCAGGGCTCAGTCTCGCGTAAATCGAATTAGGCAAGTTGTATTTCGACGATCCCATTGTTCATCATCTGATGATACCTGGTAACTGATCGCATTTGTCACAAAATGGACAGTAGATAAAAAATGAAAAATTAAATAGGGAGATTAAGAAAATCAAATACTCTTTATACGTGACGTATATATTCCAGTTTTAGCAAAGATAAATATAGTTTACATGTTCGTGAGAGTATTAACGGTCCCGGCTTGATTTAATAATTTAGATCCGGATATGGAGCTGGCTGACATTTTCCTGATTAAAGCACTAATTTAATCCTTCTTTCGGAATTCCTCCGTGCAATTTGGAATATTATTTAATATCGCTATTTTTATACAGAATCCTAAACAAAACTTCATATGTCGAAATCTTTAGTAATTTACTCAAACAATTATACATTATGTATCCAAAATTATACATTATAAATTCTAATTATATAAAGTATAATAGAATATAAGTAAATAAATCCGAAATATATTATATACATGTATAATAGAATATAAATAATTAGTATTAAGTATTAATATATCAATTATTTTTATATGACATTTTTAATATTAATATTACTATATAATCTTAGTAAACTATAGTAAGTTTAGTAAGCTATATAATCTTAATAAGCAAGAATATACATATACATATATGATACTTTCTTGTGACTGATTTAGAAATAAATCGTTAAAGCTCCATAAAATACAAAAGCTTATATGGATAAAATCGTAATAGTATTAGGAAATGTTTTATGTTTTATATTATATATATATTTCATTAATGTAACAATTTAAATAATTATTTTAATTGTTATTAACAAATTTGTAATATATGTTTTTGAAAAAAAAAGGTATATTTTTTTCTCAATTTTCTTTCTCATCCTATCTTCTTAATATTTCAAGCTACAAAAAGATAGTAGCAAAGTAATAGAAATTCAACACATGTTGGAAAGTAAATTTCTTATATCGATTTTTTTTCTACGTAAAATCTAAAATAAAATTGCCAAAGAGAACGCCATTTTATCGACAGAATATGAGGGGTTTCTGCATCATTTGAGGGTATTCGACTCAATGCTTCCCCTTGTTGATAATCAATGGACATAGGTAAAAGGAATGATAGAATTATCTGTGGTTGATAAGAGAGTAAAATATCAAGTAAGTTTACAGCAACAGAAATAAATGTATTGAATATTTCTATAAAATCGATGAGAAAGATAATAGCAGAGTTTCATTTCTTCCTGCAGATGATATTAGAGGAGTTTTTCGAGAATAAGCAAAGAGTTTCCTTGAGATAATAACAAAAGAACGAAAAATTGTACTCTAAATTGAATTGATAAATAACACAATATATATTTTTACTGATAAGGTACTTTCTTTAGAAATTATGGTCAATTCTATCTTAAAATATCTATAGTATAATTTAAGTCTGCAGTTTTTTAATATGATTGACGTGGTTTTTGTCTCCGCTTCTTTCTCATTGCCTCTCTCAAACTCTGCAAAAAAATCTAAAAAAAAAAAAAAGAAGTAACAATCGCCACGCCTAGAAAATCGCCACAAACGACGAACACAACTTCATTCAAACCATCATAAAACATAAACTAAAAATGATAGCGTCATGCTCGTGGTATGAGAAAGTTGTTAAAGAATCCTATCACACAATGCCACAAGGCAGATGGCTCTACACCATCGCATTCAGGAGCTTTTTTTTTTAAGTTCTTTATGAGCCCTTGTATGTATAATATTTAATTATATTAAATTCTTCGTGTAATTGTTATTATTCAATCAACAATTTGAGATTCTAACAATTTCTAGCTACAGTTATAAAAAGACATTCCTAAATTGATAGAATCTCTTTTTATCCTAATTAAAAATCAAAATTTGAATAACAAGATGATCAAATCTATGAGTTTTTCGAGAAGCAATTCCGTATCTTAAATCAAATTGACAAGGTCAATGAATACCGGAGACGGGAACAGGGTGAGAACGCGTTGCAGTGGACCATGTTGTCGCATCGATTATGCACGTATGAACCTTGTCCCAGTGCATACGTAGATTCTGTCAATGGCGAAGTTAATTACCAGCCTCCGTTGCCATAATTATGTATCAATCCTCTTATAATGTAATTATATTATCGAGAGTAATTGTATGTTAGCTGTTAAAAAAACAACCCTGGTTTTTATAGAGCTACGATTTTTCAGCATTATGAAATATAATGCTGTTGGAAAATATCAAGAAAAATATATCTTCATTTTGAAAAAGTTGGATAACATTCTATCTTGCGAAATATGCAATCGCACATTTTACTTGCAAAAATAAAATTATGATAACGAAACATATTATTTAAAATAATAGAAAATATATAGAAAATTGTTTGCATAAAATTCGTATAAAACGTGCGTATTTCTTATTGCTATATGAAAATTAAGATTCTCATTAAAATTTCAGAAAAATCAGGTCTCCCTCTTTTTCTCTCTTTCTTTCTCTATAGTTTTTTAATAATTCTCTATATTTCTCTTTTAATTATTAATTTAATACGTCCGTGAAATATACATATTGTTTGATCATCGGAACGCAGGAGACCGTAATAATCGAGTTATTCAGGCGCTAACTTCCGCCGTTGTCGCCAAAACAATCAAGGTAATACTAACAGTGTACCGTAACGTGTACAGGTGTCCGTAGCTGCTGGCATGACAGTGCGCAAGGTTGTTCCATAGTTGTTTTTGCGACACGACGCCTTGAGAGAAGTTTGCTCCGGCACATGTTCCGCATCTAAATGCGCGCATCTAACGTTAATATCGTAGAGACGTTACATATGACGCGATAGCGTGTAAATGCATCTATGCGTATCGGTTACAACCTAGCTGATCCTCTAACGAGAGAGTTTACCGTATAAACTAAACAGACAGGGAACTTTTTGACGAAACAAATAGAACAGATAACAATGTGATTATCTACAATACGATTCCGATGCAACGCTCGATGACCCAAAAATAAACGCGAATATTTTTATTCGAATTTCTATAAAATATTTTTTACATACATATGTGAAAGCGACCGAAAAAGCTTTGAAATTTTTAAGAAATTTTCCGTGCATATCCATCCAATCTTGACTTACGTTACGGTCCCACATCTTTGCTACTCTTATAATTTTAACGTTCAATTTTTGATTATCACGAATTACGATTATCTTAAACGTTAGAACGCGCACGTAAGTTCGCTCGACACGTTCTATCCGGGAATATAAATACTTGGATAATTTCAGCGGAGCTGATTTATCACCTCTTTTGCCTGTTTAGTTAGCAGAGTAAAGGCTATTTACACGCTGATCGCAGTTTATCGCCGCTCGCTGCCCTCGGGGGACTTGTCTCTCTGAGCGATGATGCGACGAGCATCGAAAATTCTCCGAGATCGCTTCCTCGTCTTTCTCCGCGGCTCGATTTACGACAGGATTTTGAAAACAAGATCTCCTCTCATCTTGATATCATCGTGCAATATTCCAAATATTATGGTGTCATTTAGAAATATATTATTTCAAAATTATAGAATACATAATTTCAGAATATTTTTATTTTCTTTACTTTTTAAAAATTAGAGAGAGAAAGAAAATTAAAAAAATTACATAAATTATAAGTCACAAAAGTTATGCAATTACAAAAAATATTAAAAATTATAGTAATTGTGTGTTAATAATTATAGTAATTGAAAAAAAAATTTCTGTAAATGATCATCGCGCGCACACTATCCTAGGTCTAATCACAACGCGGTATAAAAAATTCACACTTGGCAAAATTCTTCGAGTGCGAAAAAAAAAGACATCGGGAAAAAATATTATTATAATAATATTATTATATTATCAATTATACAATTTTGAAGCGATATATGAATCATTTATTGCATTTCATTCAATGTTATGAAAACGTTTCATAAAAAAAAAAAAAAAAATCCGCATTCTTGTCCTGACAAAAATCGAGGCAAGTTCCCACGCTCGGCGGGATTGGTGCAACGCACCTACCAGCGCCGAGGGTTGCCCGCGGGGGTTGTTTTCGACTACGGCCGCGCCATCGATCGGAGGGTGCCGGAAACAGACGGCCGTCTCACTCTTCTGGGAGGACAGTGCGGCCTGATCCGCGGCGCCGGCCGAATCGCCGGCACCCCGTCCGCGTCCGCCGTGCATTCGTTTCCTCGACGCGGTGTGCCGGAAACAATGAATGAAAATGTGTGCGACCCCATTACACCAAATGCGCATCGCGACGAAAGCGGCCCGCATGATCACCCGATTAAATGGTTCGAGCGAGAGAATCGCAAGTAGAGCGATTTATAATGAACGCAGCACTTAAACTTTTAAGCTTCGCTAAAATCTTTTCGGTGATATGCCGTGCAAAGGGAAGGGGATGGGGGGGGGGGTAGACAACACAATTTGATCGAGCTATCCCGGAAGTGTGTCGCTCGGCGAGAGTTCGATCTGTCGTTTGTTCCAGAACAAAGCCCCGGGATCCTCAATATGCACGAAAACTCTTTCGCGATTCCTACCCCTTTTTAAGATCGATATAAACAACTTTCTTTTATGGAAAATTAATTTCCGTTAATTATGCTTTGTGCCGGCACGGTCAGTGTAATCGAAGGTTTCTCGAGTTTCTTTTTTTTTCGCATTCTGGGAGCTACCGCATCAGGGTTGCATTAAGGGGGATGTATCCAGCGCGAGGATCTCGCTGATCTCTTTTGGAAAAAATACACAGCGGTATCTCATAGATATTTAATTCTCTACATAGAAGAATGCAGAATATAATTCTGGCCTTATAATAATCCTTAATGATTCTCGAGGTGACTTTTCTTCGAAAAAAATTTCCAAATAATCTGAGATTTCTTGAAACTTGGCAATACGCAATGTCTTATATCTTCTCAGTAGATATAATGAAATAGTGAACTGCAGTTTAGATTCAAGAATGTAATTATGCGCCGTTTGATAAATATCATCCGCCCCGAAGTGCGGTTTGTTGAAGCTACCCGAAAGATATTTCGACTTCCCGTTCGTTTGTCAGAAGTAGATTAACGTTAAGTGTATGTTCGCGTATGTGTGTTGAACATGTACAAAATTATCTAGGAAAGTCATTTGCAAGAGATAAATTGTTCTTTATAATCACAATAATCCAAATAGAGGAATGTATTGTGTATTTACCATTTTACGGAATAAATCACATTTTATAATCGTGCAATCCCCAAAATTAACTATAAAATTATAAATTACTATTTGTAATTACTTAATTATATTTTTTTTAGATATATATACGTAGTACATAATATATATTCTTTGTGTATTTAATTTGGACGCATATATATATATATAATTAGTAAGACAGATCACGTAATTCGTCGGATAGCTCACGCAATAATTCGATTTTCCTTGGGTCTCGAGAGCGATCGTAATAAGACTTTCTTCGAGTAATTTCGTTTGTCGGGTTCCCTATGAGATATCCTTATAATAAGCGCTTCGGGAGCTGCGAACGTGAGATTACATTCAGTGTAGCACGTAAGAAAGCGTTTTGGCTTCTCCTAACGATCTTGTATCGTTTATTTTTACCACGCACCTGAAGAGAGGAGCTTATTTCTTCTCTCTAGAGAATATAGCTTTCATTTCGAGTGATATTTTAACAAAAACGATACGGAAAAGTAAAAGATCTTCTACACCGCACCGATCCTCATCTCGAGTGTTTTACATTATTATGAATATAATTTAAACCTTGTATATAATTTCTGAACATGTGTATTGATAACTTTTAATAATTTTTTATAAGTTTTATTAATGTACTGAATAAATTTAATAATAATTTTTCTTACTTAATAATTTTCAAATGTAATTTATTTGTAAATATTATTCATATATTTGTAAATATTATTCATTATCATTTATATAATTTTGAATAAATATATTACGTATTTTTATTATATCATCTATTATTTGTTAAAAAATATTTTGTTGTTATTATACATATTATACATTGAAATATACGTATTAGTTTGAATAATCTGGCGGTACTTAATTGTTAAAGTAAAAAAATCGATCGATAGTACGTTTCCGCATTCACGATATCAAAGTCGAGACCTAAGTTTATTGTTTCCTAGAGTATAGTCAATCGCCAATATTTTTTCATTAAAAATGTTTTCTTGCCAAAGATGTTTCTTGTAAGCCGAAGATATGCACCCGTTATGAAAAGAAAACGTTAAGATGTTGTCTTTCTTCGGAACGACAGGAATGCTTTTTCGCGAAGAAGAAACATGCTACGCTCTTATATACAAAGTGCACGTGGAACTTTGAGGTAGATTATACTTTGATGAATTTAAAATCAATTTCTTTTTAGCAAAAATTTAATTGCGATCTCTTTGATCTGCGATATTTTAAATCTCTTAATATAATTAAATTCCCCCAAAAAATAAAAATTGTTTTATTTAAGATAAGATTTTAATTCACAAATCTTCATTGCCAACATATTCATTATCGATAAAATTAATCTACTTTATTTTCTCTCTCATTAAAAATTAATGCCACGAAAGTACGATATTTATTATAGTATATAATTAAATCTAATTTTTGGCAATTTAATCTCGAAATAACTCCATTATAATATAAAAATAATATTAAAACGTTACAGCTTTTAAATAAATAACTTTTAAGTATTTAACATTTTTCATGTAAATAAATATAAATCTAAAGTTTTGCCAGTTATGTGTAAACTTATCAAAAATTTCTGTTAATCAAAAATAGAACACTGATTTTTTCGAAACTAATTAGCCGAGATGAATAAAAGACGCGAAAATACATAATTCACTCTTTTCTCTCTCAAAAGCTCTCAAAAAATATTTCCCTATTCAGGATAATTATTGTGTGCAATAAAGGAACTACTTAATTTCTTTTATGCGGTAAATTACTTTCCCTTTTTAACGTAATTATCATAGCAATTAAACGTGAAAAATCCGCGCTAAGTAACGGCGCAACATTTACGGCATTAATTAGTAAACAATTTTAAAGAAGAGAAGAGAGGAGCCTCAATTTTCATAAATAGACATTAAACTAATATTTATGTAACGTTTACGATACGTAATCCCAGGAGGAAATCTCAAGTTAATTCTGAAAGCTAAACCGTTATGTAAAAAGTCTTAGGTATCAAAGAGATGGAAAGAGAGAATATCTAAGTCGACTGCAATTTTATTCTGTTTATATATCTTTCTGTAGTAGTAATTAATTGCAAATGGTAATTAAAGCCAAATCGTAAAGAGTTTCTTGCATCAAGCAGAAGCTCTACATTTCTGATCGTAATCATGACGCAATTTTTGAAATCAAAACTTGCTTTTCTCAATCAATATAATAATATACATATATAATTTCTTAGTATTTGCGTTAAGATTTTTTATAGTGATTAAATTCAGTAAATGTTATAAAAAAATTGTATATTTCATACACAAATTGTAAATGTATATGTACTATTCCCTCTCTAATTTTTTTTTATAAAATCTCCAAATTTTATTTCGAATATATAAATATTACATTATACATTTTTTAAATCTCTGTCCCTTTTTTACAATATTATTATGTAATAAATATATCTATTAAATATTATCGTATGGACTATTATTTTCTCAGCGTGATGAAAAATGAAACAATCAATTCAATCTTATATTTAATTCGTTTTTATACTTTTAATTATAATTTGTTCGACAGTAGCATACTGTGCCGATGACAGAGAGAAGATGCATTACCGCACTCAGAAGGTGCACTTAATTGCCGGTAATTATCTAACTAATGCTTCGTGAAAAGCGGTGCTTGCACCGCTACTATTGCGACCTACTTTTATGCAACACGATGCATATATATCGAAATCTATCGCTCGCACAATACTTTCGAACCATCCTTTGTAGGGACTCGAATATTATTTAAATATTACAATTTGCGCAAGATGCGCTGCTGTAAAAAATTTATAACAAAGTTTTATAATAAAGCACCATAGTGCACTATATAATATTGTTGTGGTTAGTTTGGTTTAATTTAATCTTGTTTTAATAATTATCTTTTTAATTATTATCCAACTGTTGAATTATCTTGTTAATTATTATTCTGACTCTGCTAAATTGCTGAAAGCCGTAATAAATGATAAGAGAATATTTCGTTATAAAATACTTTAAGTTTCCACCTGACGTTTACCACGTTTTTTTTTACTACAGTGTCTTTTTACTACATTTTTTATGACGTTCTTTTTTACTACGGTGTTCTTTTACCACTCGGCTATCACCCGATTAAACTACACGGGTAATACCCGATTAAAATATCCCGTTATTACGGAGTGCTGCAGAGTTTCTTTCTTTTCTCTTTATTACATATAATTTTATTTGGACTCTTTCCTCCCAACGAAAACTGCTTAGCTGTCAGCCAGTGTGACGATTATTACATCGTGCTGCGTTTCAGCATAAAGTTTTATATAGTGTCCGCGAAAAAAAGAAAGAGAAGAGCGCACACGTACACACATACACACACACATGCTCACTCATATATATGTATCCACAAAATTTAAGAGTTACACTTTTCTGACACGCCGAAAAACGATGCACCGACGCATCTCGCGTGAAATTTGTGCGATCCACAAGGACACAAAAATATTGTCTCCGCGCGCGCGCGCGTGTGTGTGTAATTATAACAATAATATCTGATTCTCTACATATTAAATATATAATATGATCATCAATATTATTTAATATTAAATTATTTCGAGTCTAAGACGACATTCCAATCTGTGGCAATTAAAAGAATTCATATGCAAATTATGAATTCAAGTAATACATTTATAAATTATGAATTATATATATATATAGAGAGAGAGAAAGAGAGTATAAAAACACAAAAATATTGCTGTGTACAATCAAGCCAAATATTTTTGTGTACCTATATTGCATGCTCTTCTATATATACTATGCCCTTTGTAACACTATACTCTGTAACCGATGCTTTTAGATTTCGGTTTTGTAGTTTCTTGTTTCTGTTGATTAACTCTATTCACAATTTTAGTCATTCTGTTGAATTGATTGACGAACGAAACGGAACGAGAACCGGAATGGTTATTCGTAAAAAAAAAAAAAAAAACGAAGTTGTTGACAAATCGAAGCGGTGAGAATTTGCCCAATATTTGCCATACTGGCGCAATAATTGATACGAATTCAAATTATGATTGCATTGGTATTGTGAATTGCATATGTAGTCAATAAATTTATTTGTTATATCGACTATGCCAGCATTTCTTTCTCTCTCTCTCTCTCTTTCTCTCAATAAATGCAAAAAACATCACTTATAAAACTATACTTATAATATAATAAATATACATATATTTTTACGACAACTCAAAACTCTTTATATTTTTTTAAAGTATCTGTACATTTTTTCATTTTCTAAAATATTTCTTCATATAAATGTATTTTCAATTTCAAAGTTTTTTTTTTCAAGATCTAAAACAATTGAGAAGGAGAATCATTGATTTTGATACCTAAATGCACGGATTTCCTTTTCTCTTTTACACATTACGCGTAGGATAAAATTCTTGATCTGACAAGAAAGCTCTTCCTCGCGAGAAAACATCTTCGAAATTGGATTCCGCGTAAACACGCGATTTGATTATAATTTGTAAACTGTGATTCGTGTCCAAATATAACAATGTCGGAGAACGGCACACTCCCTTTATTTGCGTATCTGTATTGGCAGAAATACGCTTAATTAGTTCATTCTATGCTACTCTTATCATAATATAAACGTAAATTGCACTTATGGTAACCCTTCTACCTATTTTCGTGTAAAGAACTTGATTCTCTTTTACGATTGCCTACGTATATAAAGAGTCGTTAGTAGAATGTTAAGGATTTTATAGTAGAAAGATAACGCCCCGATATCAAGCCAGATATATACATCTATATATGACCATCAAATTAATTTTATTTTTAGATTCTTTTTAATTTATATTTAATTCGTTAATTTACATTTTTTATTATTTAATTACTTTGATCTATTCGCTTCTTTATACATTTCGACATATTTCAATTTTTTCTTTTTTTTACAATAAAATCATAGGCAAAATACACGTCAAATTATTTTAAATAAAAACCGTTATTTAACTTCTTTTTAATTTTGACATGTCTAATAATTACCTGTGGAAGAAGCTTCAAATCAAAAGCAATTTAAATTCTACGCATATTTATTCCATTAAAAGAATTTATGACGTAGTAGTATCCCTTTGCAATTTAAATTGTAAAGAAAAATAATATTGACATCCTTACAATCGAAAAGGTTCTCTCTAAATAATAGAAAGTACAAATCTCAAAGTAAAAATTATTGAAAGATGCAAAGAGAAGGTTTGGAGACTCTTCTGTCTAAACATCTTTTAAATGTTTCTTTTAATAACCAAATTCTTGAGGTAAAAATTAAAATAAAAGATTCAAGATATAAACTATAAGATTCTCTTTGTATAAATATTGTTGAATATTTCTTGTAAAAGTTACATCTTCAAAGTAAAAACTGAAATAACGATTCATGAGAGATTTGAAATTGTCTCTCCAAGTTCTTTTCGAATTTTTTTTATAAAATAAACTTATCCTATTAAATTTGAATAAATACGTTAATTGTTCTTTATTTAACACACAAAACAATTAATGTATTATTAAAATTCAGTTATGAAAACGAGATATTTTTAACTCTTGGAGAACTTTTATACGGTATTATTCATTCATTAGACTATTTTTATCTCAAACAATATATTGTTACATATCAAACGGCAATACTATTAAGTAAAAATTAATTATATTAATATAAAAAATTGGTAATATTGTTATCTATTATCATGCAAAGTAATTACTACTACAAATAAAAAATAAACTAAGAATCTCTCGTCGGAATGCATCCCGTTGATCGCTATTCAAGAAATTTTCTTTTCTCCATTCCGAATATTTCTGCTGCGAGAACCAGGAAGTTATTAACCTCCTTTTTGCCTCTAATACGCTGCCACTATGTCACCATTCCGCCGACGACGACGTAGTAATTAAAGATCGCCGCGAGCGAGCGAGCGGTATCTCGAGAATCCGCCCGCTGTTTCATTAGGTCGACATATCAGTCGTGCGATTACTTCGCATCCGGAGGATATCTCTTGCCGTTTTATAATGCCGAGGAATAAAATAGGATAAAGTAATCTTACGCTGAGCTGGCCTCTTTTTAAAAGCGATAATGCGCCTGAGATTCACATAATCAATTTGAATAGCCGCGCTTTTCTTCGAAATCTTGGTTAAAAGAAGCTCTTTCACATTTACTTACGATAAAAATGTAAAAAACTAGAATGATATACTAAAAGAAAGTACGTTTATTATATTTTTATAACTTTTTTCCTTTCTTTAATCCGGTAATATATATACTTTCTAAATAAAAACAATAATGGCTCAATATATATCATAGTAGACATACGTTTTCTAATTCACATCTTAATGATATACAAGTAATAGGAAAAACAAAAGTTATAAATCACTGAAAAGAACAATATTAAAAATGTACACAAATTCTATATTATTTATATTTAATTTCTCTTTTTTTAAATATTTTTTCCATTGAATCTTTCATTTTTTCGTTGATTTTTTATTAAATATTTCCGTATCTGCTATATTGTTTTTCTTTTTTAATATACATTTAATCTTTCTCTATATTTCTCTCTCATTTATTTTTAGAATATATTAAAACTGATATTGAGAAACACAAATCTCAAACAGGAATAAAATAATTTAAAATTTGAGGTTGGATATATATATATATATATATATATATACAAATGTCGTTCGTGACGATGCATCTATCGCAACACTTGCATAAATTGATACATTTTCGCATGAATGCTTTTGATGAACGGTTTTATTAGACACGTCTTGATATTGATAGAGTTCTGCTAAGAAATGTAGCGGGTCTCGTATAATTATAGGTAGCTAGAAGCGATTGCATTATATAAGACTCTACAAGCAAATCCTCTTAACATCACCTATATATATTTCCTCAAACATTTAGATAGCCATCTCTTTCTCTCTCTCTCTCTCTCTCTAAAAGTTTTAAGAGCCCTTCGTGTATTAATACCTATCATATATCTCGCACAAATACGTTAACAAGTACGTTAACAAGGATACCGCATATTCAACTTTAAAGCGAAAGCTTAAATATATTAATCTTTGATCATGACTGTTGATGACGTTCTATATGAAAGTTTCACGAAACGTTCAGATGGTGTTATCGCAGAGTTCAATGACATATATTCACAATATTGATGCATAAATTTAATATTAATAAATTAGACAATTAGACCTATTAAAATTAAAATAACCTAGATATTATTCTTTAAAAAAGACATTTAAGTGATTAAATTACGCATATGCTTAATGAGATTCCTTCGAGCTTCTTGCCGGCCAAAGCGAGTTGATTAAAATAAATAAATTTATTTCCATCGATCGAATCTAATAAATCGTAAATCTGATAAATCGCGTTCACAACAGATCCTATATGTTATATAATCTTTTGTCATTTTAGCGATGTAAACAAAAAATCTCGACGTGTCAAAAAATGATGCTAAACTGATTAATGATGCTAATTAAACTATTATCACACGTGCTAATCAAATTGAATATTCTTCTTATCATCTCGATTGACATCGTTCCTGCAATTGGTACAATTCACGCTTGGGCAATAAACGTAATTATGGATGTACGTAAATTAACAGTGATTCGTGCACAACTACCATGGGACAGTTTAATGCAAGTTAGACTGAATTGTGCGGAGAATGGCGAAATATTTGCGGAAATGCTCCAGAGACTAGATTCGGAAATTGAGGATGATGATTCTCATTCTGCAAGAAAATATCCACAATAATCGCACATCGCGGGATGACTGTGTAGTGTATAAAAAAATATACTTGATGTATAAATATAAAAAAAGAAAAGATCCTACAAGATATTTTCAAGAGTACTAAATAAAAAAAGAAAATGAAGAATAACTTAAGAAAATAAAAAGAAATAAAAAAAAGATTAAAATAAATATAAAAGACAAATATATATGTATATGTACATATTTAAATTATTTTTGGCAAGAGCGACGAACAAGATGATAATATTATACGATGTTAATATTATTTTTATCATTACAAGATGACATCGTGCGATTATATATCTGTGTTATATAAATAAACCGGAAATAAAAGCGATCATAAATGAAGACAAGAAACATTTTTTGCAAAACATTTCAAAAAATATTAATAAAATATTCATTCAATTTTTAAAAATGCAACAAAATATCAATCAATAAATTCCATAATTAACTCGAAATTCGAGCACATTCGTGGAAGCAATCATTATAATACTTTGTCTAATTAATTTTTTTTTTTCATCACAATGATGAAAAGAAGAGAAAGTCAAATAATTCGCGATGATCACTAAAAGATAATCCACCGGACGACTCTCCTTTCTATCTTCGCGGACTTTCGATCACCATGAAGTCCAGAACATGCGAAAAGAAGAACCGTTCTCCGCGACATAAACGGTGAATTATACAACATCAACATTTTCACCATGCTGAACGTAATGGCGACGATGTCGACGAGATTACCTCAAATAGAGTCCACGTCTTCATCGGTCCTCGTCAATAACACCATCGTTGTCACTAGTGCAACGACAACCACGACAACAACCACGAATGTAACGGCAGAAAACCCGACGGTGGAGAACCTTCCCGAGAATGTGAGTGTGCCGTGGATGGTGATCAAGGGCATCATCATGGGAGCTATCATCACCACGGCGGTTCTCGGCAATATGCTGGTAATCGCCAGCGTGCGGAGACACCGCAGACTCCGCGTGGTCACCAATTGTTACGTTGTCAGTCTGGCAGCGGCCGATCTGCTGGTAGCGATGTGCGCCATGACCTTCAATGCCTCGGTGGAACTTTCGGGTGGCAAATGGCTGTTCGGGGCGGTTATGTGCGATTTATGGAACTCGCTGGACGTGTATTTTAGCACCGCTAGCATCCTTCACCTCTGTTGCATCAGCGTGGACAGATATTACGCGATAGTGAGTCCGCTGGAGTACACAGTGATCATGAGACAGAGTACTGTCGGATGCATGCTCGGCAGTGCTTGGGTTCTACCGGCACTGATAAGCTTCATTCCAATCTTCATGGGATGGTACACGACTAAAGAACATCTGGATTACATGGCGGAGCACCCGGGGGTATGTGGAATTTTTTTTTCTTTTTCTTTTTCTCTCTTGTAAGAGATATAAATGTGCGGAAATACTCGTTGACGCACGACACGTTTTAAAATTTAAAAGAAAGAAAGCGGGATATCTGACAACTTGATAAATTCTAAAAACATCAAAAGATCATTTAAGAATTCTAAAAAAGAGATTATGATTAGCTCGAGGTATTTAAAAAATTTCAAGATTTTATTTCACCCTTAATGAACAATTTTGGTAGACCTTTTGCGTAATTCACGTTTAGATACATCTGTCCGTTTTATCATTATATTAATTTACCAACCGTTAAAAAGATTATTTTTCATGGATCATTATATTATTAATAAATAACGTTAATAATTAAAACAATTTTTTTCATTATCTCGTGTTTTTCCAGAGCTGCGAGTTTCGAGTGAATCTACCATACGCGCTCATCAGTTCCTGCGTGTCCTTTTGGATCCCGGGCTTAGTAATGATCATCATGTACTGGAAGATTTACAAGGAGGCGATCCGACAACGCAAAGCTCTCAGTCGGACGTCTAGCAACATCGTACTCAACAGCGTGCACCATCATCGCTCGTCCACCCGGCATCATCATCATCAGCAGATGTTGCTGCAGGCCGCCGCCGATACCGGTGAGCTAGCCCTTCACACGGCACATTTCACGGTGCCCACGGAGCTCCACGCCGTTAACGGTGAGTGGAACTCCGTCCGTCTGTGTATATGTGCGATAAACAAGCAAGTAACACGAGATAATGCAACACGAAATTTTATCAGGTCGACAAATAATAAGTACATTAACCGATTTCAATAATCGACATCGGCGATCTTTAAGTATCTTAAGCTTTTCATAATTTCAGAAAAGAAAAAATCTTTAATTAAAGAAAACTCTCTTGAAGAGAGAGACTACATATTTAAAATATTTAATATAGAACATAAAAAGAGATAAATCTTTATATTAAAAATCTCTAATAAAAAGTATCTAGATTTTTAGATGCACATTGCTCGATGGGTTAAATATTCGAATTCTAAAGTGTCAATGTTTTACATGCGCGAAATTTTGAACTCGACTTGTGCGATGGAATGATAAGAATTAACACGTGACGGAGTAATATTCGCGTTGCATGATTCGCGCGACAATCGAGACTCGGAATGCGTATTCTCGCGCTATACGACGTTATATAGCATCGTCGCATATTTTGGCGAAAATGGTAAATGTTCGCTCGCGCAAAATCCACTTATCTCCTTAAGCTATTATGCGAGCGCGAAAGAGACGTCCCGAGTATGGTATAATGAGTAAAATTCATGGTTTTTACAGCGATGTATTTCGCGCAATTCCATAGAAAAATGCTCTGTCGCTCTATACATATATGATTTTGCTAATAATATCCTTTCCGATTGACGATCCATCTCAATGGCGACATCAATTTGACATAATCGATAAAGCAATTTGATAAAAGAATGTCCTGCGCAATTATCAGAGATATAACATCATTGTGCAATAACAATAATAAAGAATATTTATAGAATACATAATTAATATAGATTATATAAATAAGATAATATACATTCTTTTTCTCTCAGCATATATTTAATTATTATTAGATTATTTTTATAATAGTAATTTTAATAGTCATATTATAATGACATATCTTCAAACAAAAATTTTTTTATAAATTTTGGAATCAATTCTTATTTTACAAAAAAAATACAAAGACTAAGAGATGTGATATTTAAATATAGAAATATTTTTCAAAGATTTTTAAAGATACGCATTTTATTGTTTTGATCAAAGATGTGAGATTTATAGGATGCAAAATCTTTAACATGGTTTATGCAATGATGGGAGCGGTTTGCAATTATCCCATGATTGGCAATCGAAAATGGTAGCATTATTCGTGCGGGAAAATAGGATTTCGTGGTCCATTAATAAAATCACCGTTCCAGCTATTCTCATCGACCATGGGTGTCATAACAATTCGCATGGGTAGATTCGATAAAATTGTAATATTCCAGAGAGAGAAATTTTCAAATTTATAAGAGTAATTTACAAGTTGAATTAAAAATAAATACTTTCCCTCAAATTTCTTTTCTTTAAAAAAAAAAGAGTAATTTTTGAGAAATTGAAAACAAGTTTTTTTTAAGACAAAATAAAGTTATTAAAATTATTATTACAAGAATAACCAGATATTCAAAACAATAATTTAAAAAATATTCTATTTAAGTAATATATCTTTTATCTATAGTCTACATTAAACTTTTTTAATTTTTCCAATTTTTTTCAATACAGTGTATAATACATAACAGATGTGATATAAAGTTTTGATAGAGAATTTTTGTTTCTTAAATCTTTTATAATGTTATATTCTATATAACAGTATTTCTCTAATTTTATTTTTTCTAGATAATCTAGTATCTACATAAAAATTAATAAGATTTCTATCTCAATATTAATTAGGACAAGGATTTAACAAAATTATAGAGCATAAGGATTAAAATCAGTAATAAGTGATATCTTTGTTAACAATAATTAAGCAATTTTAATAATTTTGATAATTTTAATAATTTTGATGACGTCAATCTACTGAGAAATTATTTAAAAATAAAAGTTCTAACTACATGGATTTAAATAAATTAATAATGCATTCTCTGATTAATGAAAATCGCGTGTAATTTCTATAACTTGAATGGGTGAATGTGAATGTGCATATCTACTTGTATACTTCAATGAGATTATATTCCGCGAATGAACTACCTTCATACGTACATACACACACTCACTGCGTATATGAATGTGAAGCTAGTTCATTTGTAAAATAAAGCCGAAATTGGCTGCCAACGCTTAATATACACGCAGACGATCAAATATATGTTTCTACACATGCTTTCACAAAGTTCAAACTTTTCCTACCATCGAAACCGTATTTCAAAATAATAATTATGTACGATAATGAAGGAAACCTTCCAGATTCACGAATGTCTCCCAGGTTTCTACAACAGCATTGATTTAACACTTAAAATTGCTTGAGATTATGCCATTTTATTTCCTAGTTTTAACTTTTCTATAATTTTATAAAAATAACTAATTTCAATATTTAATCAGTATGTTCTCATATTTATTAAAACATTAATATTTATATAAGCGAGTTATATATTTATTTATATGATTATTATAATGATTATTCAAATAAATATACAACACTCAAAGTTAGTAATTATACACATATTATATATACAATAATTTTGTTCATATTTCTCTTTCAAGCGTTAGATATATTGTAATTCATCTGCATTTTTTGATTTTAAAGCTATTCATTTTTTTTTTAGCAAGACAAAATTTTTTGCAATTGCTATTTACTTGAAATTATTTTGCCACAAGTATGATCATTATTTCGCTGATCAGCGTGGGAATTATCTCATTTTAACGTCGAGTTGTTAAAGCAACATGCCGACAGATCGTTTTATTATGCGGCTGCGTAATATCGGTATAAGTTTGTGCGATAAAATTCACGTTCGTGAAATTTTTCATCGCGGTTTACATGCCTATAGAAATTGTGCAATTGTACAGTTACCCAAAACAAATTGATCAAAGTTATCATCTATATTTTTATTCCATTTACATGTTTTTATTTTTTTAAATTTAATTAAACAAATTAATTTAATTTTAATCGATTAAAAAATTCTAAATGTGCTTAGTAGAATGATTTTACTTTATTATAGTTTCGTGTGCTTCAAAAAATGTTAGATGAAAAAATTCTTATTTTTATCTGGGGAAAAAAATTATTATATATCAAAAAAAAAAAAAAAAAAAAAAATGGGAAAAAAGAAAAAAAGATATGAAGCTGCCTCTGAGATTGAACCTTTGCGGAAGAAGTTTGAATACACGGGACGAATACACGAGAGAGTAATCAACAGATTTGCATATGGCTCCAGCTCGTTTCATCGGGCGTTTTCATTAGCGTAGGGCTTTTATCTCAGACTTGGACAGTCCGAAAATTCAATTAAATCCCATCAAATCTACAGAGCCTCCGTGCCAGCAATATATCTTTTCAGTCTCGATGAGAGACAAAATATTATTAAGATTGGAGTTATTTTTGTTGGCTTTTTCTAAGAACAATTAGCTATTTTTTTATAAAAATATGATTATTCGAGAGAATGAGAAAAGAAGAGAGAATGATTATTCTTGGAAACAATTATCGGAAATATTATGTAAATGACCCGTTATATAATTGAAAAGTATATCTCTTGATAGATTAAAAAAAAATCAAATTCTTTAAAAGAGATTTAAAAAGCACAAATTAAAGAATAAAATTATAATTAATAGATATACAAAATGCAATTTTATATAATATGCGTCTTTTATTTATAATTCTCTATATCTTGTATCACTTATTTCTCGCTTATTTCTATTTCTCTTTTTTTCAAATTTCTTTATGATATTTTAAGTTTGTGATAATATATTCGCAAGTATATATTATCGATGTAAAAATACAATACTTAGCATATAATGAGATAAATATTGGCTTTAATTAAATCAGAGATTATTTCGCAATCTTTGAGACAACAAAACATATCGTATAGAATTGTATAGAATAAATAATCGTATGACAAATATAAAACAAAACTACAATACAACAGAGATATTAGAAAATCGCAATGAAATAAATAATACGGAGAGAGAAATATTGGTACGAACGAAAATTATACTATTTTTGCGAATTGTTGTACGAGATAGAGCTCTTGATAAGACAGCTGTTGCCGTGTGTTGCAAACTTAATGGATCTACGTAAAATTCACACACGGAAGACGGAAGGTATCGTAAATATTATCGACGGGGAACGAGAACCAATATCCCGCCTGGCAATTTCCGAAATCGGAAGCTATTTCCCGGACAGAAACCCGGACTAAAACCACCACTTCCTTTCTCTCTATCCTTCCCTCTTCCTTTCTCTCTCACTCGAATTTCACAAATAATATCGCGCAAACCTCATGGAACAAGCCTCATTAAATTAGTTTTGGCGAGGTATTAATTGGGTCGCTAATGCGTTATTAAGGACATCGATTGTCACAGGAATTTCGCCAATGACGACGTAATATCCCAAAGTTCGGTGAATCAAATGCAATAAATTTGACCCTAAGTTCGCAGTTTAATCTCGCATTCGCATTCTAAAATGATAAAACGCATGAGAAATACTAGATTAATTTTTATTCATATATAATTTTCATTCTTGTTTATATTCTGTGAAAAAAAAGAAAAACAAAATTTTTTTTCTTTTTATATTGCTTTTCATCTACAAATGTGATTGTATAAGTAAAAATAATTATTTTCCTTATTTTTACTAGTATATTTATTATATAATTTAAAACATAAATATTCATTATTACACGTATGTATTATTTTATTTTATTTTTGTATTATTGTTTATATATACATTAAATTAAAATTTTATTTATTACATATTTTTTTCATCTTTATATACGCATACAGTATTTTACCTAATTTTCCTTTTTATTATATTCTCTGGATTTTGAAATTATATTTTTAGAATTTATGAAAGTATATAAGATCCTGTTTCACGCTGAAAGCTTTGCGTTAGTAATTCGAAAAGAATCTCACGGAAAGAACGAGCCGGGACGTAACAACAGGAATAAATTAAGGAATCCACGTAATAAATGTAAATACGTCACTAACCAT